CAAAGATGTTGTGTCTGCCGAAAACTAAAAATTAAATATTAAAAAATTCTCTCTCTCTCTCTCTCTCTCTCTCTCTCTCTCTCTCTTTAAAAAAAAAAAAAACTCTCCCTTTATTTAATCCTCAACCCAATCTCAGAGAGTAAATTTTACCATCCCCAGAACCCAAATTCAAATCCAGATCATCCCGTGATCAAATCCCATTCCTTTAGGCTTGTGCCAAGTAGCCTGAAGGCTCTGAGCTCATTGGGGTCTATGCTGTGAATGATCCTCTTGGCTGTCAAGTGAAGTTTGGGGTCATGAGAGGACCTCAAGAGAAGATAAGAAAAGCTGTCTGCGACTGGAGGGGCTGAGGGAAGCCCCTGGATAGGAAAAATTTTTAGGATAAGAAAAAGTGAAGGAAGAGGAGGAGCCTATGAGAGCTGGACTGTATTTGGGAGAGGGGAGAGGTGGGCAGAAGCAGGTTGGGAAGGCCAGTGGAGACCTGGAAGGTGAGAGTGTCTATTGCCCCAGCTGTTGCGCAGGTGAAATGAAACTGGGCTTGTCAGGGGCAGAGCATCATCCCCACCCCAGCTGGAGGATTTAGGGTGTGGAACAGGAGAGGGAATGCACTGCTTTATATCTGAGCTGAGCTCATCAAAGTGACCCAAGACTGCTCTTGAGTAGTTCACAAGCCTTCTCCATCCACTTAGGTTCTGCTGGGTGTGTGATTGAAGGAATCCATTATTTACTCCATCGGTATCTGGTTTCCACCTCTGATCCTTTCAACACAATCACAACTTGAAATGACGAATACAAGTAGAAGTCAGATTTGGGCCATGGGGAACTTTCAAGAAAGGAAAAGCAAATGAGGAAAAGACTGTAAGAGTCACCTAGTAGCAGCCCCCAAGGTTAGATAGGGACTAAGTCGTGCTCAGGTTTGCTTTTTGACCTACTGATTGTTTTTTTGTTTTTAAATTTATTTCCAAAATTTGTAATCAGGCTATTTCTCACAGAAGTCCAAATTTTCAGCTTCCCTTTGAAAGCCTAGGTCTGACAGTGCCAGACTATTCAATTGCAAGACAGCAATTGCCTAGAGCTAAATCAAAGCTTCCTCTTTAGTTTGTGTACTTATCCCCCCAGGCCCACCTGTTCCTCAGGATTACAGGAAGGACTGGAATAAAATTTGCCTCTGTGCTCTCTGCCCAGGAGTAAGATTGATGAAAGGGAAATCCGCAGCCAGCTCCCCCTCTCCAGAATGCCCTGGCAGTGTGAGGTAAACAAGGCTGGACTGTAAAGAGGGCTTCTTGCTGGGAAGTCTAGAAGTCTAGAAGGGTTTGATCACCCACAGAAAAGAAGAAAACCGTAGCACTTGTTCCATGACTTAATCCTTCAATACCCATGTCCTCCCTGTGATTTGGCAGAATTAAAGTACTGGACAGTTTTGCATACACAACACCTCCTTAGAGAAGAACCAAGAACTACATAAGATTTTCATGATCACTCATTTGCATGTCCAGAAAATTTCAGGTCCGACAGGTGTCTTGCAGCAGACACAGGCCAATAGATTTTAATTCTTTCCAACCCTTCCGCCTTAAGATTTTTAAGTGCTGTAACCATCTTAAGGAGCTCAGTGTGGCACAAGTATGCGCAATTATGGGCCATGTTTGTAATTTTAAAAATTCTTAGCAGCCACATTAAAGAAGTAAAAAGAATCAAAGGGAACTAATTTTCATAATAGATTTATTCAATCCAACCTACCTAAAGTATTAGAATTCCAATGTGTAACCAATATGAATATTATTAGTAGGACATTTTACATTTTTTTAGTCAGTTCTTCCAAATGAATTTTACACCTATAGCACATTTCAGTTTGGGCCAGTTACTTTTTTAGAACTCAAGAGCCTTAGGTGGCCAGTGGCCGCCTTATTGGACAATACAACTGTAGATATGATTACTTATTTTTCCTTAGATTAACAAGCAAGAATAGGAAGAGCAGGTACAGATTTCCCACAGCTCTCAAAGGGTACCAGGGAAGCCATAGAGGAAGCTGACACCTTTCTAGTACATAAATGGGTCCCCCAGGGCAGTCTCCTTGCAGTCCTTCTCCTTCTCTGTCCCCCACACCCCTCCTTTTCTCATTGCCCAGCTAAAGACACTATTGTAGTGTGGACAGCCAGGTCTGTAAAAGCCAAGGAGTGGGCTGGATTCCAAGCCTGCCCCATGCAGGCTAATGACCTTGGGCAAGTTACCTAACCTCCCTGGTCTCAGATTTCTTTTCTATGAAATAGGATTAGTTCCTTCTTTACTGAATTCTGAGGATTAAACGAAACCATAAATGCAAACTCCTCAATACCAAGTAGACACTGTCAGAATTTTCAAGTTTTTAATGATTATTTTTCAAGTTTTTATGTTTTGTAGGAAAAAAGAACTAAAGATGTGAGAATTTTTTTTTTTTTTAAGTCTGTGCTAAAACCTGTCTTGGCCTTTGTAAAAAGTGGGACTTTGGCCCAAAACACTCTCTGAGCCCAGGTCTTGCAGACACACCAAAAGCAAGAGAATGAGAAAAGAAAGCATTTCCGTTCTCACCAAAGTGTGTCCAATTACAGGATGACCCAGATGACAAGGGGGGGTGGGGGACACCTCAGTGTGCACCATGTGAGAAGGCACCCCAATGACTCTGCAGAATGGCTGAGGAAGCTTTCCACGATCCACTGCATATGGAGACGGCAAAACTCTACCATCCAAAAGACACAACTATCTCAGCTCCTGCAGGTTCTCCTACAACAAAATAGTGCCCTGCAGCTCTCGTGATGCATTACCGGACTCTCCCCTTTCCAGGTACTAGAACCACCACAATTGGTCCTATAGTTTATTTTCTAATTTACCTGAATACGGTAGCCCTGGCCCACAACTTTGGGTGCTTTGAGAAAACTAATAAATAAAGAGTAGACTCACCAGTTCATTCTCCTCTCCTTGGTTGAGCAAAGCCCGATGGTCCTTCTCACTCTCTTCCTCCATCTGAAGTGGACCTGTCAGGGCCCCTCCTGGCTAACTCCTTGGGGAAATGTTGAAACCACCTGGGCTTCTGTGAACTCAGTGGCTGCTTGTCATTGCTGTTCTCGGGTGCTTATAAAATCTGTTGGCACACACCTTGCCTATTAGACCAACAAAGAATAGGGAGGAAATCCTCTCCTTGGCCACAGGATTGGTCTGTTAATCCATCTGCTTGATGCATGTTTATTCTTTCCAGTGTTTATTTACTGAGCTAGATGAGAGTGTCTCTGGTCCTAAAGAATGATGGGAAAAAGAGTTGTTGAACTAGAAAGACAAATAATTTCACATGCTTTCCATAAATGTCTCAGCCAAGGAGGAATGGCCACTTTTCTCAAAACCTGAGACAAAAGGATTAACCAGTGAGAGATGCATTAGAACAATTCCGTGGACTTTAGAGACTTAATGAGCATATTAGGTGTGGCCATGAGAATTAATAGAAGGGAGGTTGGTTCGTAATGGGAAATACAGGCATCACTCTGGAATCAGAAAAATCTAAATTTTAATCCCTGCTTTGTTGGGGACCTTGAACAAATCGCTTAAAATCTGAATTTTAGGTTTCTATTATATATAATATCCACAATGATTATATAGTTGATATAAGGACTTACAATATTTGTAAAAGGCCAGATAGAGCACCCACCCCACTCAGTAAGAGGTAAGTGATCATCCTCCTGACACTCTAGTACTAATCAAGAAAAGAGACACTTTGAAACAATGATTTGATCCCTTTCATTTTTCACTTTGGCATTTGAAGTTTTCAAACAAGTGAAGCCTATGAAGAAAGAAGGAACTAGAAACACTGACTCTTAAGGACATAACCCAAATTTCCATACCTGTATAATCATCACTGAATTCGATACTTTCATTAAAAGTAAGAAAACTGATCCGTCTAGGGATTAATTTTGCTTGTAATTAAAAGCTTTTGTCATTTTATTGACTTTTATTGCATCCAGTCCACTGAATGAAACCCTTGCCACTTTGACCATGGAAGAAAATTTGTTAGGAGTGAAAACTCTGAGAAGTTAATATTTGTTTGACCCTTTCCACTGACCAAAACAATCATCAACTACCTTGAGCAGACACAAGTGCTATCTTGACTTTCAGGATAGGTCAGATGTTTCCCAGCCCAGAAAATGTGGCTGATGAGAATAAACAGACGATTTCCTCTTTTTCATGGCAGCAAGTCTACTAAGATGCTCACACCAACCACTGTAATCACAAATGTTGCGATTGCAGTCCAGTCTAGGGTTGAGCTCAGGTCTGGAGAGAAGAGTTGTAATTTAGTAAAACCTAATTCAAGACATGAGTGATGGTCAGCATTCACTTTTTACCCAGCAGCTAGCCACTCATGTTTCTTGTCGAAAGAACATCAGTTTTTGTCTGCACAGGGATTTCAACTAAAAATGCCAATGATGAGTCACGATCTGTCTAAAAGTGGGCAGATGACCCTGTTCTAAACAATTAAATATGCATTGTAATTGATAGTAACTAATAATTGAATTTTATAAAATCAAAGGGAAACACAGTTGGGAGCAAGGATCTTGTGGGAAAGATTATTCTATTGCTGAAGGAGAAAGAACTATTTTTCCCTTCCATTCTTTCCTTTCTCCCTTCCTCTAAAGGGTATGTGAGTGAGGATGCAATAATTAGAGCATGGGGATTATGTGAATTAGGAGGAGAGGGAGGAATATCTCCACCTCCGACCAGAGGTGGAGATATTCCTCCCTCTCCTCCTAATTAAATGAAGACTCAGTGGTCATGGTGGAGCACTCACCCTCCCTCTTGGTCTCTGATCCCCTCTTTCCCATTCCAAACTTCCCTTTGAACTAAAGGGCAACTAGTAAAGATATGGATGTCTTACCCAGATTTCAAAACTCCCCTGTTATTTTGTCTACTGACCCCTGGAGCCTTACTGAAGCATTCTATTTCACAGATGTACCTACGAAAGCAAGATGGCTAGCTAAGATAGACTGACTTCTATACAACGACAACAAACAATGATAGTTTTAATGGTTTAACATCATCAAATGCTCTTTTATTAGATTTTTTATATATTATCATGTCAGTTAAAAGAATTTTTAAAAATAAATTATCACTATATAAAAGAAGTCATTTAATACTTTTTAAGTAAACCAAGATATTTTTTTACAAAAGGAGAAAATACATATACATTGTATTTTAATAGTAAAATGGTGGTAACTAATAAATAAATTTTATAAAATCAAAACACCTGCAAAAGGTCACTTTTTGGCAATTATGAAATCATTCCATTTATGTTATATTTTATTTTATTGACCAGGCTTTAGTTAAAAAGAAAAAAATTGAAAAAAATGTAATTTTAGAGATACTATTCAGCGGGACACAGTGGCATATCCCTAAATCCCAGTGGCTCAGGAGGCTGAGGCAGGAAGATCGTGAATTTGAAATCAGCTTTAGCAACTTATCGAGGCCCTGAGCAACTCAGAGAGACCCTGTCTCTAAATAAAATACAAAAGAGGTCTGGTATGTGGCTCAGTGGTTAAGCACCCCTGGTTTAATCCCAGATACCAAAAAATAAAAAAGATACTATTCACTTTGGGGGTTATATTTCAGGTGTGAACTGAAGTTTGCACTTACCATACAGAAATATTATAACTCCCAGTGTGTACTCTATTTTACTCTATTAAAAGAAAAACCTTGGGAGACAAAACTAGACAATGGAATTGGAGCTGGACGCTGGACATGTGAACTGTCTAGCTAAGGAGTTAGGCGTGATATGACTGGCAGCCCTGGGAGGCGCAATAGTAGCTCACTCCCTCTTCAGCTCTCCTGCCTTCAGTTCTGCCCATGTGTGCAAATCTGCAAAGCACTGTTCCAGGTCCTAAAATAAGAACTCAGAGATGAACAATGCATGGACCCTACCCTTGAACTCAGTCTACTGGAGCTATGCTCCTGAATCTGTCTTTTAAAGGATATATGTTTTGTGTTTAGTTGGCATAAAATAATTGAACATAATTATAGAGAACAATATGTGTATCCAATGTATAATGATCAGATCAGGGTAATCGGTATATCTAATATCTCAGACATTTATCATTTCTTTGTCCTGGGATACAATCAATGGTTGTCAACCACTGTAATCCTACTGTGAACGTTAGAAGTCATCCCTCCTATCCTACTGCACCCCAGTCCCCTGTACTCTTTCCCATTCCCATCCTCTGTACCCTTCTCGGGCTCTGGTAACCACTATTCTGTTCTCTTTATGAGATCAAGTTTTTCAGCTTCCACGCATAAGTATTTATCTTTCTGTGTCTGCCTCATTTCACTTGGCATAATGTCCTCCGGTTCCATCCACAATGTTGAAAATGACAAAACGTCATTCTTTTTATGACTGAATAATATTTCATTGTACGGCATATTCATTATCTGTCGACGTACACTAGTTTGATTCCATAGCTTGCCTCTTGTAAACAGTGTTGCAAAAAACATGGAAATGTAGACACGACTCTCTTGTATACTGATTTCAGTTTCTTTAGATATGTACTCAGTAGACGGATTGCTGGATCATACAGTAGTTCTATATGAATCCAAGTCTTAAATATTCTCTGTGTTTATGTGACAAACTTATCTCTCATTGCTAGGTCCAGGTTTGGCTTATCACTGATACATGTATGTACCATTGATATATGTATGAAAAGATAGGTACTATTCACGCAGATCCTTTGAAGTGTCTCTCACCAATGGAAACTGAATGGTTCAGAATTTGTTGACAAAAGTTATTAATTGTTTGAAAGTGATTGATTGTTGAAATACCTGCAACTTTTAATAGAGAGCAAGGAAGCCTGGAGCTTCTGATTAGAGCGTATGAAGCTAAGGGTAAACAATATTCAGCTGTAGCCATTCACTCCTGATTGATAAGGAAAAGGCTCTCCTTCTTCTAGTGGGTTTCCCTCGGGCTCTCATTTCTGCTCTATTCTAGGCATGGCTGACTTCCTGCTGCCCTGCATCAGGGGAGAGACACAGATCTAGGTAGCTGAGCTACTCCTTCCCTGCTCCTCATGGGAGTCAAGCACCAGAACTTGGATTAAATCCTATGCTCTACTTAATTTCTATTGTAAAATGAGGCTTTGTACATTGCAGATTCTGTTAATTTGTTGTGGATCAATGAAGCAGTTACTCTTTTTTATTTAATTGCTTCTGTTTTGAATTTTAAAAACACTGCCTCTTCAAGTCAACAAATAAGTATTAATTGATTTACTCTCTTATGAAGTGAATTCTATTTTCCAAGTTCCTTATGTATCTGAGGCTTGATGGTCCTCATTCTTCTCGAATTCACTGATTTTTGCTTTGAGAGTTAGTCTCATAATGTTCAATACATAAGTTGACAATGGCTCAAAAGGGAAATTCACTAATTTTTCAAATCCAAGCACTTAGTGCATGGAAAAGCACATATAGCAGTTGCTCAGTAAATGCTATGTGAATGAAGACATAGTTTTTTCCTCCCTAGGGAACCTGCTTTTCCTTTGGGTTGGTCAGAGGCAGAGAGGAAAACAGAACATGGCACATGTTGTCTGTTGTCTACTCAGATCACCTTAGATGTTTTGGATGCCTTCAGGGTTGCAGGGTGCTTGTACTTTCTTCTAATAACCTTATTCCTGCAACTCTTTTCTGAGTTGCCTTTTGCCCTTAGCCTAAGGTCCCTTTTCTGTCCTACCAAGGTCTGGTAAGTGCCTGCAGTTTACCCTCCATTCCCCACCCTGCCTGACAACTCCGCAGCCCCCAAGTCAATTGCCAATGACTGATAAAGGCAGAAGTCTGAATCCCTGGTCCCTTGCTAAGAGTCAGAACAAATTGGAATGAAGTTGACCATCCAGAGCTCCCTGGCAGCATCAGTTTGGGGTGAAGGCTCTTCCTTTCATCACACTCTTGGTTGCATTGTAATCCCCTCCCTTTCTTCTTTCTCCTTGAAACACCTCTTTTGAAAATATGTACATGCAAATGGGATCCCAGCTTCAAGAAGGAATTAAGCGTTCTTAATATTTGTACCCCTCATGCAGGAGGAAACTTCAACCTATTCTTTTAGGGGAGGAAGGCACCTGCCATCTAGGCAGGTCTCATCTCTCTGTTCTCTCACCTGCTCTCGGTCTGTTCTCTGACTTCAAAGCCTCCAGTTTCTTCTCTCCCTAATTTAAAATTTTCCGGGACCCATGCTGAGTCTGCTCTGATTATTCTTGCTGCTTAAGGATTAGAATTCTTCCAGGAGAATTCATCACTTATTTGAAGCTGCTGGAGGTGTATCGACTATGGTGGAAGACTTCAAGCTTGCCAGGAGCTATGCCTCACTGCCCCGTGCTTTGTGTGGTTAGCTGCAGAGGAACAGAATGTCTGTTTAATATTCTGAAGGGCTTTCTAGATGAATGACCACAGGACCAAACCCACATGGACTTCTAGTTTCTTGGCCAAGACCAAACCCACATGGACTTCCAGTTGCTTGGCTTATCTGATGTAAACAGTTAAGTGCCAGTGAGAGTGACAATCACATGTTCATTGCATTGGTCAAGCCAGTCACCAACCTGAGTCTGACTAGTGGCCAATAAGTTGCCCCTGCGCTGTCAGGTCAAAACCTGGGTGAACACATTCTCTGCTCCCTTCACTGCTACTAAAAACTCTAACAACCATTAAGACTCCTGAAGGGTGCTAAACAGAAGGCCAATGTCCTTTCTGAAGTTGGTGTCTTCGCTACTGGAAGAATAGGGGTTCAAATGCATCTGTCAATTCAAATGACTTCTCCAGAAAGAAAACAGCTGGGACGAGGTGATTACAAACATGGAAATGAACTTAGGTATTCTAGAGTGAGCTAGATCCTAGCTGTGGTCTGTCTTAAGGAGAATATAAACCTCTATGTTGAGTTCTTACTAATTTACTGCAGATGGTCTAACCCAGTTGAAGAGATAAAGGAAGATTCCCTTAAAATATTCAAACCTAAGAACAGTCCAGGAACAACTATTTTTTCTCTCCCTCCTCTGAAGGGTGGTCTAGTTTGCATATCTCCAGGAGTAAATTTTTTGTGTAAGTGTTTCAAGTAGCTTGGAGAATACAAGATATCAAACTCCATCCCATGTTTCTGCCTTTGGCTCATGGCAATGTTTTCCCCTTTGAACTTGTCCACCAGGTAATTATTTTATCAAAAATGCAGTACTTGGAGCTGTAGCAATGGGTGAGGATAAATGGACACACCCCAAGAGAGAGAAGTCTGGCAGCAGGATTTCCCATCTGAGGCAGCTTTTATAATATAGAGAATGCAAAGTGACGAACAGCATTTCCAAAGGAAATATATCCCCCAAAGTTCTCTCAACACAGGGTAAGTTGGTAGGAAAAATTGTAAATGAGTATCCATGGGGACTAGTATAAGACAGCACATTTAAGAGAAAATAATTTAAGTGATTCTTGGATTATGCTTTCTAAACTTGATTTATCATCAGAATTACCTAGAGATCTTGGTAAAGATACACTTCTCCAGGACCTATCCCAGAGATTTGATTGAACATCTGTGAGGTTGAGCCCAGGAATTTATTTCTAATAAGTTCCTTGGGGATCTCCATAATGGGTTGAGTTTGAGAACTATCTTCCAAAAAGTAGTTTATGAATTGCTGTGGACTATTCCCTACAGTGAGAAAACTAACCCATGATATGAGAGCAAAAAACACCAACTAAAAATTTACTACAAATAGATCCAAGTCTGAACTATTTTGCACAGGTGTTTGCGTCTCATGGGGTGTCTTGTGGACTTGGATATTATCCAGGAAAGCTCAATTGAAGAAGTAATTCCTCAGGATAGTCAGATGATGGGGAGAAAGGGCTGCAAAAGGAAGCCTAGAAAAGCAGTCAACTCTTTGGAAAAGCAAGTTATTGACTCTATAAACAAAGGCAAAAAGGAAGTTACTTTATATTACTTTAAATATGAATAAGTAGACCACCTTCACAAATAATTTGTGTCGAGGCAAACAAGATGGTAGTTAGGATCCTCCCTCAATCTCTCCTCACAGACACAGGTTGAGCAAGTAATCTGTGTATAAAACTATCTCCATAAGAACTAAGAAACTCAGGTGAGAGCCTATGGTACCTGCTTTTAGTATACAAAAATGAAAAAAGCATCAAAGAGGTAGGAAAGTCCGCCAAAAACTAAAAAATAAATATTAAATTCTCTCTCTCTAAAAAAAAAAAAAAAAGGCAGGAAGCAAAAATGGCTTGAGTTAACCCTCCCCCAACTCCAAGCAGTCAGCATGGAGAGAGATATCTTGTGCTTGGGGAGGGAGAAATAAATAAGTCCAGCCCTTAGACTTAAAACCCAGTACTAGGCTTGCTATGGTGCTGGGCAAAGTCTCATGATCCCTGATGCTAAGCCAATACCATTGACTGAGCTCTGGATATCTGTTAGTTCAGGCACCAGATTCCTTTACCACTCCTCCTCCAACCTCAGGCTGCAGAATGGGGAGCAGAATTGCTGGGGAGCAAACCATGATAGCTATGTCAAGGCTTTGATGCTGAGCCCAGTGCCAGGCCCTATAACAGTAAGATCAAGTGCCCAGTAGAAACTAAAGACCTTATATGCAGGTTAGACTTTGCAGACAGAGCCCCTAGTCTGACTCTGGCACCAGGAAGAGACCTGTACAATGGTGGAACAAATGAGTTTTGGCTGTGTCAGTTTCTGTTTGGAGTAGGATTGGGTATGCTCACCTTCCTCCTGAGACTGTGCAGGCCCCTACAGCTATGAGACTCAGATGCAACCCAGCTTAGCACCAGCTTTGGTGGCTGAGGGGCTGTCTCTTCCACCCATCCCCCAGCCTTGAGCAGCATGGCTATCATCAGGCCAGTACTCACAGATGGGGCTTTAGAAACTCTGGCACGAAGCAGAGCCTTGTGCCCTTATGGGATAGTCTTGTCCTTTGACCTACATTGCCACCAGTTGCAGTGTGGGCCCTAGTGCATCCCTGAGACTCTGCAGGTACTTGTGACTGCGAGAATCAGGCAGACTTGACTCAACCTCAGCCTAGGTGGCAGAGGGACTCCCCTCACCAACTTTGGGCAGCATATCATGATGCATGGCCCCATTTGCTGGGATAAGACAGGGTAGGTAGTAAGCATAGGGTTTTTCCCAGGAACTTAGAGCTGGGCTGGAGAAACCTAACACTGGGAAGACCCTAACTGATCCCATTCCCATGGCTGCCTGCACTCAGAGCCTCCGGAACAGCTCCAGTGCCTGGAAAAGACAACACAGCTTCAATCAGTCAGACTTCTATGACAGCTAATATCATCTGTGACTGGGTGCTGCCATCTTGGGCCATGAGTTCACCTCAACAACAGGCAGTCCATAGTAATGTGGGCCTAGTTCTAACTCAGTGTTGTGCTGGTCTTTGTAGGTTTGGGCTCAAATTTCACAACATTGGTGCCGACAAGACAGATGCAGAGCCTTGGACTGGTTCATCTACAGTGATACTACCCAGAGTCATGCAGAATCCTGTAGTGTCTGACCGTAGACCAGTAACTGCAGACAAGGCATCGGGTCCTAACCTGGGACCAGGGAGAAGCTTGTGGGGACAGACTACTCTTTTTTAGGTACTCTCCTGTTCCTTTCTGAACAACAATACACCAACAGTCTATCTGGGGCAAAACTGGGCTTGGAGTGACCTCTAGTACTGCCACATTGAAAACATGCCAACAGCAGACTCCTGGCAGTTATGGATTTGGGTTCCCTCCAGTACTGAAGTAGTGGAAGTGACTATAAACTTAGAGAAAATAAGCAGGTTGCTTAGAATTTCTAGAAGAACAGGCGCAAACAAAGCCAGTTAAGGAAGACTGGAATAAATACCTCGTCTTCAATGCCCAATTGATGCTGCATGCCAAAAAATATGAAAAGTTTTCAAAAAACTGTGTCTTCACCTAATGATCAACATAAGGTGCCAGAAACTGACCAAGCAGTAAACACTCTGGGAGGTCTCCCAGAGAATTAAAAACTTAAAAACACGATAAAAAAAAAAAAACAGGATAGATTAAACAGAAGAAAGAATTAATGAATTCAGCTATAAGCTTTTTGAAAATACACAGTTGGAGGAGACAAAAGAAAAAAAAAAGGAATGAAGAAAGCATATGGGAACTAGGGACAGCACTGAAAGAGCAAATAAAGAGTTCAAGAAGGACTTGAGAATACAAAAGATACAGAAAGCTGATTCAAAGAGCCATGGCAGAAAACTTCCCAAGCTGAGAGAAGAATACAAATATCCTGACCTAGGAAGGTCAAATGGGACCAGTTAAAATCAACTCAACCTAGTCTACCCAAAGACATGTTATAATCAAACTCTTACAAATAAAAGATAAAGAGAAGACTCTCAAGGATACAAGAGAAAAAGAAACAAATAACATATAAGGGTTTCCCAATTTTCCTGACAGTTCACCTCATCAGAAACCTTATAGGCCAGGAAAGAGTGACATAAGATTTTCACAGGACAAAAGGAAAAAAAAAATCTGTCAGCTGAGAATAACTGTACCAGCAAAGGTATTCTTTAGAAACGAAGAAGGGATAAAGACATTCCAAGACAAAAGCTAAGAGAATGTACCTCCCCTAGACCTGTTCTACAAAAAAAATGCTAAAGAAAGTTTTTCAAACTAAAAGAAAGAGACATAAATGAGTAAGAAGAAAACACAGAAAGATGTAAAATTTGCTGGTCAGAATAATTATATAAATAAACTCAGAATTCTCTAATATTGTAGGAGTGGTATGGAAACTATGTCTGTAGTATAAACACACAAAAAAACAACTAAAAATAATAACTACATTAGAAGGTTAAGTGATAGATAATATAGAAAGATATAAAATGGGATTTCAAAAATTCAAAATGAGATTTTAAATATTTGGAGGGAAAATGTAATTTAACTGGAAGAGGACAAATTCTTATTCACGTGCGCCTTACTAAGATTGAATCAAGAAAAAATAGAAAAATCTGAGTAGACTAATGACATTGAATCAGTAATAAAAAGATCCCCATCAGAGGAAAGCCCAGGACCAGATGGCTTCACGGCTGAGTTCTGCCAAACATTTAAAGAACTAATACAATATCTCCTTAAGTAGTTCCAAAAAAAAAAAAAA